GGCCGGAAGCAGGGGGTGGGGCTTCGTCATGTGCCCCACCCCCCGTACCTCACCCGGGAGAACTGCGATCCCCTGCGTTCCCCCCCGAAATGACCTCTGGACCGGACAGTGGAGATAACACGCCGTTTCTCTGCCAAGCCGTTCTTAAAGCTCAACACTCTAGGGTTGCCAAGTGAATTTTACTCACCGGCGGGGGAGCCTCGCTGTGCTCCGGGAGCCGTCCCTCGCCGTGCGCGGTGGCGGAAATTGGGCCTCCAAAGCGGGGGTTTACCCGCCACCCGCCCCCACTTGGCAGCCTTACAATACTCTCAGTTCAGTCGTCTGACTCCTTTTGCTTCCAAGCAAAATATCAGCACAAGGTTCTTGCTGATTGATATATTTATAGTCCAAAAGGCAGTAAAAGTAGTCGAAGATGTACCGGCGATACAAACTTTTCAAAAACCCTTCATCAAGACTGGACTTATATTGAAGCCACACCTACAGATTCAATTTCCAATGCTGAAGCTCCTGATTCTGGCACAGAGTCAATCTCTCGAATGAGGCTTTTTGGCTTTTCCCAAGGTTTGTATAGCCAGTACATCTTCAACTACTTTTACTGTATTTTGGACTATAAATATATCAATCAGCAAGAACCTTGTGCTGATACTTTGTTTGGAAGCAAAAGGAATCAGACGGCCGAACTGAGAGCGTTTACCTTTAAGAACAGCTTGGCAGAGAAACGGCATGTTATCTCCAGTGTTAAGTGAATGGCTGTTATTGTTTTCCACTGGAAGTCCTCCGTACTTACGGGTAAATAGACCTGGCAACCCTACTGCAGACCAATGTAGCCACCCTCTGAAAATACCATCTAAGGCCACTGAGTTCAAAGAGCTTTGAAAGGCACAACTCTCTTTAAAGTAAAGGTAAAGGTTTCCCATGCTCGAAAGCCAGGCGAATCTGACTCTAGGGATGTGGTGCTCATCTCCGTTTCCAAGCTGAAGAGCCAGCGCTGTCCGAAGATGCTTCCATGGTCATGTGGGCGGCATGACTAGACACCGAGGCGCACGGAACGCTGTTACCTTCCCGCCGAAGCGGTACCTATTTATCTACTTGGCAGTTTCTTGCTTTTGAACTGCTAGGTTGGCAGGAGCTGGGGCCAGAGACGGGAGCTCACTCTGTCTTGCAGCACTTGGGTCCTGAACTGTTGAACTACCAACCTTCTGGTCTGCAGCTCAGCGTCTTAACCTCTGAGCCACCGCAGCCCCCATAACCAATGCTCCCTCTAAGCTGTGGAGTCCTGTGAGCAAAAATTCCACTTTGTGAGCTACTGGCATTAGAATTGTGAGCAAGTTATTTGGCTACTGCATAAATTAGTTTGCTCTGGAGCCATTCTTCCTGAGCTAAGACAAAAACGTGTGAGCCGGAGGCTAAAAAACTGTGGGCCAGCTCACACTAACTCAGCTTAGAGGGAACACTGCCCATAACTCTCTTTAGGATAGCCCTTTTAACTGGATTGCACTCGTGAGGTGTTTTGGCTCTGCAGTGGGCAGTAAGGAAAGAACGTCCGGACAATACAGAAACTTACTGTCTTGTTTCTTTCCCCCAGATACGGTGATGATAAATTCAAAGGATATCCGCTGGGTTGGAGCCTGGTGGCTCGGACTATTGGTCTGTGGAGCGGCCAGTGTGTTGGCCGCCATGCCTTTCTGGTTCCTGCCTCGATCTCTGCCAAGAGAAGGAGAAGAGAAACACCATAAGGAGAAGCCGAGCGATGTCTTTACCATCACCCAAGATGGCCAAATGGAGGTGCCAGTGCAACCACCGCTGGAAGTTTTGTCGTCAGTAAAAGGTTGGCTGCAGAATCTTTGGACTTCTGGTTTTATGGATTTTATTTACTTTATTTCTATCACAGCTTTCTCCCCAATGGGGAGGCAAAGCGGCTGACATCATTCTCCTGCCCTCTGTTTTATCCTCACAACAATCCTGTGAGGGAGGTTACACTGAGAGTGTGCAACTGGCCCAAGGTCACCCAGCGAGCTTCCACAGCAGAGTGGGGATTCGAACCCGGGTTTCCCAGATCCTAGTCCAACGCTTTAACCACTGTACCACACTGGCTCATGTCACTGGTTCTCTTTCACTGGTTGAATCGGAGCTCTGGAAATCTTGGAAGGATAAAACACATGTCGCACAGTTAGAAAGCTAGCAGAAATTCAACAACAATCTTGTTCTCTTGGATTCGAAATTCCACTTTTTGATACCTGACTGAGGCCCCGGTCACACGGAGCGTTAGGCACGCTAGAGAGATGGAAGATAGGCGGATTTTCCAGGCGCAATCTCACCGCCACATCTGGGAAGCATAGAGCTCCCGTGGCTCACCCGAGGCTTCACTCCGAAGATGCGCTGTAAAAAACTAGTACCTCCGAGGTACTAGTTTCCGGAAGGCACGGGGCAAGGGCGGGCGTCAGATCACGTTTTCGGTGTTAGCTCATGGCATCCGGCGCCCACCCATGTCCCGTCGCAAAAAGTTTATTTTGGTCAAGTCTCCACGGGTGCGCACAAGCACCCAACGGCGCATGCGAACACTTGGGTTAAAAAAAACAACACAACCCCCGTGGCGCCGCTTCTTTGCCATGCCGTGGGAGTGAGGTATGATCGGCACCTCCCCCCAACCACAGAACGTCGGGTGGGACGTTTGATCCGGTTGCTGCACGGTAGTTCACTTCGGGGCAAACAGCCATGCCTCCCCCCCCCCGTGATATCCGGCCCGTGTAACCGGGGCCTGAGATAGGTTGCCAGCTTCCATGTGGTTACGTTCTTATCCAATATTCAGTTTATGTGGAGTGGTTCAGTCACTCAAAAAATCATTCACAATAACGCCGTCAACACTAACGGACTATGCATATCAGGTCTCGTATCACGTGAATGGATTTGATGAAAGTCACTGTGAAAAATGGCCAATACTGCTTGTTAAAGGAATGAATTTGTATAGACATTTCAACGCTATACACTCTGACAAAGTTGTATGCAAAACGATGGAGTTATTATGAATGATTTTTTGAGAGATCGAATTACTCCAAGTAAACTGAATATTGGATAAGAACTTAATAGTCTGTGGATATTTTCCTTGGCATAATATATTGCGGTTGTTCAGCTCATAAGAACATAAGAGACGCCAATGCTGGATCAGGCCAAAGGCCCATCCAGTCCAACACTCTGTGTCACACAGTGGCCAGAAATACCAGGTGCCATCAGGAGGTCCACCAGTGGGGCCAGGACATTAGAAGCCCTCCCACTGTTGACCCCCTTCCCCAAGCACCAAGAAGACAGAGCATCACTTGCCCCAGAGCCCCGATCTATACCTTGTGGCTAATAGCCACTGATGGACCTCTGCTCCATATCTATATATCTAATAGCCAACTTGCCCCCGGAGTGCGGATCGTTAGATCAGCGCTCCGGGGGCAGCTGGGGGGCCGGGGGAGGTTTGTGCACACAAGGGCCAGTCCCCACGTGTGCACAAAAATAAAAAAAGTTAAAAAAATTTCGGGGGGATGTTTAAATCCCCCCGAAAGTGCAAGAGCGTTCCGTGCGC